GTGGAGTTGGGGGACATAAGGGAAAATACAAATTAGTTTTGTGCTAAATAACCATGCATTAGTCAGGGTTCTCTACAGGAACAGAAGTGATAGAATGAATATAAGCATTCAATTTTTATACGATTCATTACAGTGGCTTACAGGTTGTGGCCTGGCTAGTCCAACAATGGTTGCCCCCTTCCTGTGAAAAGATAGGAATCTATCCGGTAGCTGTTCAGGCAACAGGATGAATGTTTCAGCTGGTATTCACTTACCATTAGAATCCCAAAGGAATAGGTTCTAGCACCAGTAAAGAAATGCAACAGGATGGGTGAATTTTCCAGGGAGAGTGAGGACAAGCAGGCAAAAAGTGAAAACTTCCTTATTCTATGTCTCCTTGTGTGGGTTTCCACAATAAGGTAGATCCCAGAATTAGGATGGGCCATTCCACCTCAAGTGATCCTGTCAAGAAAATCCCTCACAGGAATGTCCAGCTGCCTGGATTTTAGTTGATTCCAGATGCAGGAGTTGTTATGGGCAAAACACATGCAACTTGAAACCAGATGCAGTCAACTTGAAAACCAAGATTGGTCATCACAAATCTCTTCTAGAAAATTTTAGTCCATGGAGAAAATATGATAGTGAGGAGGGAGAGAGAATATAGAAGTGACAAATTGTGCCCCTCATATCTGACTTTTGATATAGCAGAAGTAAAAATACAACCATAATACAGCATGTAGTATGGGACTGTACAGGAAATTGGTAATCAGAGAATACCCCACCCCTGGAGTGCTTAAACTGGAAAAGAAGCAGGAAATGGGAGACTCTCGCAGCACAACACATAAGGTGGTAGGATATGAGAGGAAATGGGATCAGTCTGAGGGCTGAAGTGTGGAAATTGAGTAAAACAAAGGCTTCATAATCTGAGACAACATGAGGGATACTTGGTTATTTCCAGCCGAGGTATTTATGGATATCAGGTACTAGGGGTCAACAGAGGAAGAACAAGTGTCACTGAGAGAGTTGAGCATGAGTGAGGCAGAGTCGGAAGCCTAATTCACTGGGCCAAGTAGGACTGTGTTCCTAGAAGGGTTAAAAGGTGGTTGATTCAGCGGGGATCAGATGTGGGGCTTCTGTGCCTTTGATGAATCCCATAATGAGAAATGGTCTTTATGAAACAGGAAAGGTCCTGCTTGGGCCATTCAAAATCAAATTTTGTGAGTTCTGACACAACAGTGCAGGTGAAAAAGACGAAGCTTGTCCCAGGAATAAGGCCATTCTCCACCACCACCACCCCAAGAAGTATGTGCACATTTCTAGCCTTCAAGGAAATGTACTGCAGTTGAAAATCATGTCCAGACCAAGGACCTCTCAGCAAGTAGGTATGGCTAATGGAGAGGCAGTGACCCAAAAATGCTCCCCTGAAGCCACAAAGTGATTAGATGAAACCCCCAGCATCAGGAGTGGTCTATCTTCCTAAAATCATTAACTAGGGAGGCTCCCAGGATTCTCCAAAATACAGGCTACTAATTTTGCTTTTGGTTGCCCACTGGAACTAGACAATAAGACCTTATGACTAAAAACATTGCAGATTCTGTTAAAGGACATAGAGAAATGAAGCTGAGGTTGAGAGGGAAGCTTCCCCACTTGCTGGCTAGCTTTCATATTGTCAGAAGTTGATGGAAGAAAATCATCAACAGTCCTACCCAGCTAGAGATTCTGCATGCTGCACTACCAACATGCCAGAAAAGATACATCTACTTGTACAAGCATGACTTTTATGGCTATAACTAACTACTTTCTTACTGGCCTTAGGGCTCAATACACAGAAGGGAATTCACATCCAATACTCAAGAGTCCAGTCTGATGGGAGATGGCATTCTGAAATCTGTTTCTTATTGGTTGTTGAATAAAGCACTGTTGGCCAATAAGGAAGCAAGATATGTGGGACTAGGAGTCGAAGAGGATTCTGGGTAGGAGAAACACAGGGAGTCAAGATGTAACTGCCATAGGGGTAATAGAAATTCTTACATTGGCAGTTGTGGGGTAAATACTTAAGTCAGAGATAGCCAGTAAGAAACAAGCAAGGCCAACTGCTTCATAATTAATACAGTGTCTTGTATGTTATTTGGGGACTACAATGCGGCAGAGCCCAGGCAACTGGTGTGGAAAAACCAAGCTGCTGGCAAAGAAAAAGGCTTCTCTCTACACCAGTCAAAAGCTGATGGATGTGAAGGTCATAGACCCTAGTAGGGAAACAACTGTTGCTGTTCTGCTAAATGATGTGATGTGTCTGTCAATTTGTTTCTAAGCATTTATGTTTCCATTCATAGATATTGCTTTTGTCATCCTTGGTCAAGTAAGCTATATGCAGTAGGCACCAGTTACTACTATAAAGACTCAGAATACTGAGAAAATGAGACTATTGAACACTCACTTACAAAAGGGACATCTAAATCACCCCCCAAGCCTCAGGGAATATTACTGAAGAGGGGTTGAAGTTATGTGAGAACAGGAGGAAGGAGAGGTATTGTGAATGTTATCCTCCAGGAATGACTCGGCCATTGCTGTCCTCCAGGAATGACATGGCCATTGCCCTCTTGAACTTTCAGGAGCCACAGTTACCTACATGAGATTCACAAGAGCTTGGACATATTAATGTCTGTCACAGAGAAAGGAGGCCTGACTCCTTCCTAAAGAGTCAGAGCTGGTTAATGAATGCTGGGCAAGACATTTTCTTCAACTACTCAGGCATTCATAAGTTGTCCAGCTTCCATATATAATACCTCACTCGTGCTCCTACAAACAACCTTAATTAAGCTCACTGGTTCACCAAGCTAGACTTAGATGGAATATGTCTCTGACCTGCCATTGGCGCTATATCCTGGATGTGTAGATGATTGTTTGTTTCTGTAGGAAAAGTCCTCACCACAATGTTGACATTTCTGCTCTAGGTATCACCAAGAACCATGTGCTAAGTTGTTTAGTGATAGCAAACAAGATTTATGTAGCTTTTACCAGTGTCTTTCTAGTGGGTAATCAATGGATGTTTGTCCACAGTGCATTAAGGAGGGGGCCACATATAAAGGCCCCAATTTTCCTTTAATCCACACAGGGTTTTGATGCATAGCCTCTAGACCTCCAAAACTGACATTGCAGACCTAGGTCCCTGAGGAAAGGGAACAGCATGTTTAGAGCCAACATTTGACTCTTGGCTCTCAGCTCTGGCCTTGTAATTTTAAGGTTATTTGGGATGTGCCCTGTGAAGACAGGGCATTGGACCAGACATTCCAAGGGCAATGTCAGAGCTTGCCCCTGCTGTCATCCTCCTCAGAGAATCTTCTCATCCCCTGTGTCCTTCAGGTACCATCTCACACTGAGGAAAAGCCTGTTCCCCAATATGCTTATCCTCCAGGTCCACATGACGGCATCATTCGCCTCATCTGCAGGGACTTGGAGAAGTAGACTTCCGTATCTTCTGTGCCTTTGGTTCCATCCTCCCAGAGTGCACAGTCTTAAGCTACCATGCATAATAGGATTTGAAAACAATTGATCAGTTCCAAATCTGGCTCAGTTTTTGCCTTTATATAACAAAATAATAGATAAATAAATGAAAATAATTTAATTCAAAAGAATGAATATCTCCAGAGAGCCTCCATGTGCCTCCTTCCTGTACCCCTGGAGCCAGAGGTATCATGACTCTGACTATATCCCTAGTTCTATAGCCAGGCAACTGCCTAATGCAGACCTGAACCCATTTACTCCTAGCTTTGGAGTCATCCTCCCTGCCCTCTCATTCATTAGGGGACAAGGACATGAAGGCAAGACAGAAAACCAATAAGCTAAGCCATTTCAGCTAGATTAAGGAACTGTTCAAGCAATAAGTACAATAAACTCAAGATCAAAATAACACAGTATAATGAAATCCATACCACACCACATTGGGATGGCTGGTATTTAAGGAAAGCACAAATTCTAACAAAAGTTGACAAGAATGTGGAGAAATTAGAACCTGGACACTGGAGTGGGATTGTGAATGATGCTGCTGGGGTGGGACTTGAATGATGCTGCTGGGGGTGGGACTTTGGATGATGCTGTTGAGGGTGGGACTTGAATGATGCTGCTGGGGTGGGACTGTGAGTGATGCTGCTGGAGTGAGCCTATGAATGCTGCTGCTGAGGGTGGGACTGAGAATGATGCTACTGGGGGTGGGACTTTGGATGATGCTGTTGAGGGTGGGGCTGGTGATGCTGCTGCTGAGGGTGGGACTTTGGATGATGCTGTTGAGGGTGGGGCTGGGGATGCTGCTGCTGAGGGTGGGGCTGGGGATGCTGCTGCTGAGGGTGGGGCTGGGGATGCTGCTGCTGAGGGTGGGGCTGGGGATGCTGCTGGGGGTGGGAATTTGGATGATGGTGCTGGAGTGGGGCTGTGGATGCTGCTGCTGAAGGTGGAACCGTGAGTGATGTCACCACTGTGGAAAGCAACATGGCACCACCTGTATGTGATGTAGTAGTGTGTGATGACTCCCTTTCTTGGTACCTAGTCAAAAGAATTGAAATCATGCTCTCAAAGAAGTATTTTATAATGGTGTTGATTGGACCATTACTGACAATAGTCAATTGGTTAGCCATTCGTTGCTGAATAATGCAGCACAATATCAATCATGCTGCCTTAGCAGCTGTCGCATGCTAAGGCATGATGATTCTGGAGAACATTATACTAAGTGAATTTTAAAAAAAAGCACAAATCCCATTTAAGTCTACCTGTGGCACATATAGGGTCAAATTTTAAAAATGGAATGGTAGTGTGTAAAGGCTAAAGGGAAGTGGGGAATGAGGTATTGAGGGTTTTTTTCTCCACAGGATAGATGAATGGTGGTAATGGTAATAATCCCACTGAACTGTATGTTCTGACATGGCTATGTTGATTAATTTTGTATGTATTTTTCCATGATTTAAAAAGACACCATCTCAGCAAGCTGTTATCAAATAAAGAGCAGACATTATTACTCAGGACTCAAATTGTGAACACATCCAGTCTTTATTGTTACGCATCCTCCTCTTGCTCCAACAGGACAGAACATGGTTCAAGCTGCCAACCACAACCTTGATCAGCTATTACCTGACCTAAGATAGGCACAGAGACTTAAGGATATACTGACTCCCCGAGGATGAAAGTTCACAGTGTAGTTGGCCAGAAAAGGCAGTAACTGCAAAGAGAATTCAGGAGTGCAGCAAAGCGCTCGCTAAATGGATGGAGTTATAGGCAACGAACTCTAGGAAGCCAGAATAGGCTCCTATGGGTGGGAACAGGCAGCAGCAACAACAACAAAAGGCTTCAAGGAAGAGGTGTTGAAAGACAGGTACTGTTTGGGATCCTGGGAAACAGGTGAGAAATGGTTCAGGCCGAGGAAGCCTCTGCAAAGAAAAGCATCTGCAGAATGTCAGGAGGAACACCCAAGGAGTGCCCTGGTGGCCAAGCTGGTCTAGTTAGAATTAAAGCTGAGTGCAGAGGAGGAGTGAGACATAAGGCTGGAATGACGTCTGAGACATCGGGTATGGAACCCGAGATGACATGCAAGGAGTTTGAAGCAGGAAGCTCCTCGATGTCTGTGGAGAGATGTAAGCTGGATGAGAAGAGAAAACATTCCAAAAAGCCTGAGGCAGGGGCATTTGAGCTGCGCTTTGTTCAAAAGTAAGCGCCCTTTGCTCCAGCATAAGCCCCACCTTTCACTCCACCATGGGTGTTTCCTTGGTCTCCACAACCACCCGGACCCTGTGGCCCTGGAAAAACATCATTAGCTCCACAGTTGTCGTTACTTTCTTGCCCCTGGTTACAGCTATATGGGCTTGGACCTTCAGTATCCAGGCGGCACGGGTTAGACTCATGACAGCCTGGTTCTTGGCGGTAGGGAACTGGATTAGGGCCTGAGCAAGGACTAGGACAGCGCATGGGCTCCCCACAAGGCTCTGGGCTGGAGCAGCGTGCAGGATGCGGCATGGGCTCTGGATACGGACAAGGCTGTGGGTGCGGGCGTGGTTCTGGGTTCTCGCAGTGAACTGGACGCGGGCGTGGCACTGGACGTGGTGCTGGACGCGGTGCTGGTTGAGGAGCTGAACACGGTTCTGGATACAGACATGGTTCTGAAAATCGCCGCAGAGGAGGACATGGGCGAGGTTCTGGACTTGGGCATGGCTCTGGACGTGGACGTGGTGCAGGTACTGGGCACCTCTGCCAGGATGGTTCTGGAGACAGGTCACGACGCTGTGGCTCTGGACATGGACGTGGTGCAGGAACTGGGCACCGCTGCCATGATGGTTCTGGGGACCAGTTACGACGCTGTGGCCCGCAGGACCTTGGGAATGGCTGTGGCTCCGCACTTGGCCTCAGATCCGGGCAGGAGACACCCCAAGAGGGTTGCCGGCCACAGCTCTGGGATCTTCCTCTGATGGGAGGAATCTGGACAGGACACCTCTGTGGGGGAACCTGCCTGGGGCAGCAGGGTGATGAAATCTCTACCCTGCACTTGGGTCCACATCTTTGAGAACAGCCTGAAGGGCGGCCCCGAGGAGGATAGGAGCTGCCATAGATGGGCTCTGAGCGGCGGGGTGGGGTGCAATAGTTGTAGGAGCCTGAAGAGCATCGGGATGGCAGGCAGCTGCTATAACATGGCTCAGAACGTCTTGGTGGAGAGCAGCTTCGGTAAGATGGTTGCAGCTGACGAGGAGGCAGCTGACGAGGAGGGAGGCATCGGCTGGTGCTCTGAGACCGACGCTGCTGTGTAGTGAAGCTTCCATAGGAGCCCTGAGCCTGACATTGGGGTGCACAGGTGCTAAATGAAGCCCCAGACCGACGCTGGGAGGAGCAGTTGCTGTAGGATGCTCGAGACTGGAATTGGGAGGCACAGCCGCCATAGGAAGCCTGTGACTGGCGCTGGGGTCCACAGCTGCTATAGGAAGGCCCGGATTGGAACTGGGGTACACAGCGACTGTATGAAGCCTGGGACTGAGACTGTGGACCACAGTTGCTGTACGAACCCCGTGACTGTGACTGAGAGGGGCAGCTACTGTAGGAGCCCTGATACTGGCCCTGAGTGGAGAAATTTCCCTGACCCTGGCCCACTGAGGAATATTCTACATAGGTACGGACAGGCCGAGGGGCTGGAGCAGGCACGTAGGTCGGAACCGGATATTCCACATAACTAGTTTCTGTATAATACACTGGAGCACATTCCACATAGTAGGTCTGAGGTTGTGGGACTTGCACATAGGAAACCTGAGACTGGCATGGAGCCTGGCATTGAACACAGGAAACCTGTGTCTGGCAGGGAGCTTGGCACTTTACTTCCGTGGTCTTGGACTGGCATTTCACCTGGGTGGCCTTGGATTGGCATGGAGCCTGACATTTAACCTTAGAGGTCTTAGATGGGCTCTGACCCTGGCTCTTCACTTCAGTGGCACCGGACTGGCATGGAGTCTGGGAAACTTGAACTGGGCATGGTGCTACATATTCCAGAACTGGCATCTCACATGGAGCTTGGATCAGCACTGGGTTGTTTGCATAGGAAAACTGTGAGGGACCAAAAGAGGAACCCTTGACACAGCACTGAGGTACTGGCACACAACAAGGAATCTGTTGCTGGTCACACATGGTCCTGATGCAGGTGGGTGAGCAAGACCTGAGGGTAGAGAAATCAGGGTCAAGAGACTGAGAGTTGGGAGGGAGGATCTTGGATCTAGAGTCAGAATCCTGGCGTCTTCTCTGACTTGTCTTCATATGCCCTCAACCTTCACCCAAGAATCCTTACTGATACTGATTTAGTTGGAGCCCATGCTAGTCACCAATGTGTATGAGTTTTGCCCAAAAGGCTGGATTCTGCACAGCTAGATATAAAAGTAGGCATGCCAAAGTCCACCAGGAGAGCGCACTGTTGACAAGCAGATTCTCTACTTACAGTCCTACAGGAATAACAGATGACAGCTTGCTTACAATGCATAGCCCAAACTGAGGCTTCCTGTATCACACATCCCACACATGTATGTAAAAATGAGCACGGGGGAAAAAACAAAAACACAGACATCATCTAGGTTCACATTACCTCAAAGCGTCCACTGAAAAGTAAAGGATTCAGGCAGATTCTCGACCTATCAGGCCCAGAGTTTTACATTTGCTGCCTTGCATCCAATCTTTTTAAAGTGGGTTCACTTAAATATATAGATCCTCATAGAAGTAGGAAAATCCATTTATACTTCATATACAAAACATACTAGCCTTGGGGTCAACATGGGCACTTGCCCAGGCAGGTTGCTGTTATTAGTGATCTGGAGGGTGACAGTCTGCTGGCTTCAGAAACATTTTCTCCTCAGACCCTCTGAGATGCAGGATAGTTAGTGAAGTTGAGGTACCCCAGAGACTACCAGATCATTTGTCACATTCAAGGTTTTACATAAGGACATTCAGGTATGCTTACAGATCTACATAGCAAGGTCATAACAGCAAAACCTAAGACATTCAGGCATACACTCCTAAACTACCCTTAGCAACAAGAAAACACAGCATCTCCCACTCAGCTGTTCTTCCCAGAGCCACCTGCCTGTGTTAGGGCATCTCAGTCACCAGCACAGTACAGGGCTAATTTGGCAATAGAATGATATAACACAGAACCTCTCACAATCTCTCAAAATATCAAAAATGTTTCTATTGGAAGACAGAGCTAGACATCTTCCATTTGTGGCAAGTGTGTAAGTTTGTGTTCCGTAGAGAGGGTGATCTATCTTCATGTGTCTCTACTCACACAAAATAAATAACTAATGTATCTTCTCCGAAGTCAACAAGCTCCTAACAAAAGAAAATGTTACCTGGCGAAGAAACCAGGATTGTCAAAGATAAATACACTTTACACCCCATAAATTCTACGTGTTTTATATTCCTTAGGCAGGTTATCTCCTCAGTCTGATGTACCTCTGCCCCAGGCTTTCCCTTAATTATGCCTCATTCTTCTGAGTCTGAGAAACCCCTGAAAATCACCCCCAGCACAATCCCAGGACCAAACTTCCAGACTTACCCTCCTCAGCAGGCTCAAAATCATTCAGGCTGAGGCATCTGGGCAGCGGGCTGTGTTTATATAAAGAGTTGTGGGTCTGGCTCAGACCATGAGACAGCTCATTGGCATCTGCCCAAGGTAGCATTCCACCAGCCAATTCCCTCCCCGTGTGCTGTCCATCCAGTCACCTACAGAGCTGGGAGTGTCTCGCATTAGTGCTGAAGTTTCCAGGCTATGAAGAAGCAGATCATTGTTTTCCTCTTCCATTTTCACCCTATCAGTTTCCCCTCCATCCCAGCAGGACCCAGTGGTGAAGGTGGTGAGGAGTCATGGAGATATCGTTTCTCCTGGAAAATGGTTCCATGCCCTACCTTCTCCTTGCCTCACAAGACAGAAGTAACAACAGAAGCATTCCTTAACTTAAAACAATTGAGTTTAAAGTCTAAAATTGAGTCAACTTTAGAATGATGAAAAGTTGCATCTAGTGTCTCATGTTGATGACTTACAGTTTAGGGACCTTTATAACCAAACTAGGTATGAATTTATTCTTCTACAAAATGGATAAAATTAAATCTCCTTTTTACAGTTGTCATGGAGACTACAGCAATTCTTTCATACAAACCCATCTTACCATACAAAACCAATGATGTTCAAAATATCCAACATCTTCTCAAGAGTAAGTGTGACCACATGCAACAGAATACAGCTGGGTCAATGGGTATCTGCTCCAACCCAGTCTGAAGCTGAGGAGACAGGCAGCTACACAGCTGGTGCTCAGCAGATGGTACAGAGCAGTCTTCCAAAACAGAGTAAGTCACTTAACGTGATGGAGTAGCTTTGGAGACAGCACATTTCAGAACAGAATTAGTTGGTTGGCGCCATGAGCCACAGAAACACAAGCTGTGTATCTTCTATGTTTGTCTGCATCTTGTCAAAAGTAGTAACTAGTATTTATAAACAGAGACTTTAGTTAAGGTTTTGGTTCTCCAGGTTTTCTTTTAAAAATAAAATTTGTCTAGGATTTCATTTTTCATCCTGCCTTTCATCAGCCTGACAACAGCTAGTTATCTTCCATAAATAGGACATACAATTTTCTAGTCTACAAAGCTCCCTCATTCTTCATTCTCTATATACCATGCAATCTAAAGTACAAGGCTCCTTATATTGATTTCCTATGTTCCTTTTATGGTTAAAAAGCAAGCAACCATTGTACTGAAGAGATGTTCAGTGGTTAATAGCACTTGCTCTGCAATCCTGAGGACCAGAAGTCACCTAACAATCTGGCAGGCATTCCCTGCAGAAGACATCTACTCCAACTTTTGTGGGAACCAAGCAAGGAGGATCACTGGGGCAGACATGCTGGCAAGTCCCGGGTTCAGGAAGAGACTCTGCCTTAGAAGAACATATGATGAGTAGTGGGAGAACACACCTGACATCCTCTTCTGGCCTCCACATTCAGGCACAGGCATAAGCACCCACATACATACATGCATAAACACTCACACAGATACCCCCTGTGCACACAAATAAGTAAAAATAAACCTTTTAAAAGGAAAATTAGAGGTTAATAGCCTTTCCTCAGTCATTCATGTGCTCCCATCACTCTCTAACCTTTTCAGTCATTTGGGTTCTCACCAAGCTTGTAAGCAAATATTGTAAATGTAGACATATTTTGAGCTCTGGTACTTACTAGTGAGATGAAATCATCTTAGTTTTCATAAGCCTAAATCTATTGTCTATAAGCTCAGAAGAAAGTAAAGGAGGCAGAAGAATTGGCAAGTTTATTGTGTGGATTAAACAAGAAAATTAACATAAAATACTTTTACAAGTCATTTCACTCTCTGCACTTCATTTTCTTCCTGAAATGATGGCAATGATAACACCTTATCAGGCTCTCCTTGGGACAAAATTAGATAGTAAGTGTGGAAGCTCTTTATGACCCACGGTGTACATGCCAATCATGTCTCTGAAGTCTCTTCCAAGATGAAGTCTGCCCAGTTCAATATGATTTCAGGTTCTAAGCTCTCATTCCCATTACTCATTCCAAAGAGTACCCAGAGTTCAGTAGGATTATATATTATCAGAATGTTACAGCAACCAAAATCCTCAGAAGTTTCCAGGTCCTACCCTTCCCTTCTACAGATAAGGATCCTAAAGGCTAGGCAGAGGAGACTGGTCTGGGTTCCATATACTAATTACTTCCTTGGAGAGAAGAAATCCTATGTAGACCCAGGACAGGGCCAGTGATCTTTTTGCTATGAATTATAGCTCTAATCACATACTTTACCCAAGGTTTCCTTAACTGTGATACTCATATGAGTAGTGTGGAAAATAGCAACCAAGAAAAACTGAGAACTGATACTAATCACCATCACTGGGATGTGAACTGCTGAGTACAAATGTCTCCACCATTTAACTTTTGTGGAATCTGTATTTTTGAAGGGAAATATAGCTATGGTGTTCTTGTTTTTCTATATCCTGACATAAGATAAATCTGTTAATAGAATCATGATAGATGATTAGAAGTCTGGGCATGAAATTGGGCTTGGTTCACATATCTCAAATCACTAGAAAATGAGCTGAAAAACAAGAGGAACACTGTAAGTTTTGTTGCTTCTTGTAATTTACAGGGAGGGGAAGAGGGAAGATGGTGGCAGGGAAAGCTAGAATTTAGAGTGAGTCATATGATTTTCAACAATATGATTTTAGACACTGGTCACTGGACTGAAAGCAAAATGTTATACTCTTCCTCATGCTATGTATAGGGTCTTAGAAATTAAAAGTTGTCATTTGTTAGGGCCCGGGAATGGCTTGCTCTGTAATATGCTTGCTACAGAAGCGATAAAACAAGAGTTCTGATTCCCAGCATTTTCACATCAAAAGCTAAGCACTGTTGTTCAATTTTGCCATCCCAGCAGTAGGTAGGCAAAGACAGGAAATCCCTAAAGTTTGTAAAACAATCAAATCAGCCTAGCTTATGCGTGAGCTCCAGGGTTAGTGAGAGATCCTGTCTAAAAGCATGTAGGTATAGAGGGATTTAGGAAGACACACGTTGTTAACCTCTTGCACATGCACACTCACACAAACACCTAAACAAAAATACAACAACACATACAAAGTTGTCAATGGCTAAGAACTGGAGTTAGTGCTGCAATTGTCTGAAGGCAATGATAAATGTGGCATATTAAATATTTTTCAACAAGGTTTAGAGTTATTCCAAAGGGCATTCCTTATCTGGAAGCATCTTCAAACTAAGTAGTTCCAGGATGGGGGAAATGGCTCAGTGGGTACAATGTTTGCCACATAAGTATGATGGCATGACTTCAAACTAGCTCTCACATGAAAAGTCAGGTTTGTTGCTGAATTCTGGTAACCCTAGTGCTGAAGGGAAGATACAGGAGGACCCTGAGGACTCCCTGACCAGCAAGCCTTGCTGACTATAGATCCAAGGTTCAATGAGAAACCCCCTCTATCAAGAGGAAAGGCAACAGGAGAATGCATCCCAAGAACAACTTCTGACCTCCACAGGTGCTTACTGAAACATACTAGGCATACAGACACTTGCATGTAACACACACACACACTCACACACACACACACTCACACTCACACACTCACACACACTCACACTCACACACACACACGAGGATTTTGTGCTCCTATGTGCCACAATGGTCTCACAATTTTCTCTCCATCCAGGTATTATCTGAAACTAGTCATTAGACTGATGACTCTAAAAGCAATAGGATAAAATCTTATGTTATTGAATTTATTTCCCATTGTCTCCTCTAAAAACACCCAAATTCCTTAGCAAGGAATATGAACCTCTTGATAAGCTGGCTCTGTTCTACCTTTCTAAGTTCATGACCCTCTCAGCATAAGTAACTCCCACCCCTCAACCATGCCACACAACTACAAACAAACTCAAGTAGGGCAGTTTTCACCCTCTTCACAAGCCTTGATACTCCATATTGTCAGGCCTTTGGAGGTATCTTTTCTTCTTCCTGGAACATCCTCTCATCTCTTTCTACATGTGAACTATTGCTCATTGCTTGAGACAACTTCAATAATAGTCTTTGGTAATCATTCTGACTCCAGAGCCATGATGGCCATGACTCACCTGGCACTCTGGTAGCACTTGAAGCATGTCTGTCATTGAGATTATCATGTGTTCTGATCATTTACATTCCTGTCTTCTACACCAACTGCAGTTTTCACAAGGAAACAGGCCATGGTATTTAAAGTTTTGTGTTCAAGAAACAGACACAGTGCCACTATGTATGGTGCGTTTCCCCTTATAGAGTAAACCATTTCATTCTGATTTATTCAGATGAATGCACGTGTATATACATCTAGTGAGCATGTCTTGTATTAGTTTATGGAGTGATATGTTTCATTACATGTTGAAATGCAATATATGCCCACATGATAATATATTAAAACCATACTGAAAGCAACAATAGTTCCTAAGAGAGAAGGAATGCAATCGATAGATATTTTTTTAAAAAAGCAAAAGCTACTTCCAGGAATAAGTCATTAATTGGTATTTTTTTAAAAATCTCTATAGTACAGATCATTATTTTATAAGTGAGAGAACAGAGGCTCAAAAGAGTAGTATTTTTGAGGTCCCAGGCTTGGAAATGTCAGAACAAGGGTTCATTGCCACATTATCCAGCAAGAAACCTCCAGAAGCAGATCTGTTTCTTGAGGTAGAGGTGTATAGAAATACTCTCTATTTCATTATAGACCCTTTTGGGACTTGAAAACCTTTGGGACGTTGGGCTGTCAATTCTTGAAAGGATTTAGTGACAACAAACTTAGTGATCCTGAGAGTCAGGTAGATTTGCTCCATGCTGCAAATATGTGTGTTTTAAACATACTATGTATTGTTCATATAAGTATATAATGTGTTTTGATCAAATTTTCCTCATTCCCTTCCTTTTGGTTGTTCCCCCATCACCACACCATTTTTCCTTCCCAATTTCATGTTCTTTCTTTTTTAAAAAAAGAAAATTTTAAAGGGACTGAATCCACTTAGTGTTGCCTGTATATGCATGGCTG